GTTTAGCGGTTCGAAACACTGGTCTCGCCGTGTACTCCTTCCTACGCGTTTCACGTAGTGCGGCGCAGCTGGCCTCGCGATGTCGGCTCTGCGCCTACGCTGTAGACACTAGGCACGTCGTCCCAAAAAAAACTCCAAAAACTCTAGATGTAAAGACCTTGCCTAGCTGACAGCCGTGGCGCTAACTGTCTGGCCATAGGTCGGCACCGGCTGCAGAACCCGGGATCGGGACTTGACGCCCACCTAGTAGAAGCTATGCCATCGCCTCGGCAAGTCTTTTGCCGACTTCTCAGGTCGTCAGGGCTGAAAAGTCTTTTGAGTCACCATAAGTTCATATCTCCGAAACCGCAGACAAGACATGGACCACAGAAACGGCCAAGAGACGCAGCCGCTTATGAACCATAAGCTTGTGCACATATCGTTGACGAGTCTCGCGGCAACTGAACACTCAGGTTTGCATGAAATCGGACTGATGTATTTTTTCCTCTCTGGAACGTCTGTAAGTGCACCCCACCCACCTCCTCTGCCTATCTGTGTTATGCAAAGGGCAGACTGCTGCGAAGGGGAACGTGGTTGAGGTGGCTCGGGCGACGCAAGCACACAGGGCTTCCCCAGACATCGTTGGAGCACGGTGAACGGGAACGCCTTGCTATCTCAAGGGCTTGATGAGAATAGAAGGAACTCTATCGTGTCTGAAGGAGAACCAAGCTGATCTTTCTGCCCAGTCAAATAGAGTGTGTGCGTCCCGCAGATCGATGGCCAGCTAGAAACAGAACACGCGGGAGCTGGAGCAAGTTCCAATGCTTGCGAAAGACTCAGCTAAGTTTAGTGCTTGAGGGACCTCCGCGGACTCCTCGTTCGCTACTGAAAGCAAGTGACGGAGGAAGATTGTGGCGTTGCAAATGTCGATGACGATGTCGACGGCCAGAGAACGACAACTATCTGTTGGGAGCTTTGCCACAAACGTCCTGACCTCGTTTGAGCTGCCACGGTCGCTTATAGTTGGCGGGCAGAATAACTTCAAACTGCCACTGCCATGATCACACAGAATCCCTCCTCAGCATACGAAAAGTCACCGGCTCCGAGTCTAGCTGCTCTACGAGCCCGGCCGAAAGTGGGTTCCCCTCCTTCGGGCCCCGTCCACCATCGTCGAGACGTCGTGTCTGAGCGGGCAGCATGGATCTATTTCTGTCTTTGCTGCATACATCTGCGTCATGCTGCGGCGGATAGGGAGGGAGAACGGACCATATGCAGGAACAAGAAAGGGACCGAGCTTTTTCGTTGCCGTATGCAAGATCCAGACTTCTTTTCCTGCAGCCTGGGCGGCACGCAAATGGGGAAAACACTGCGTTGCGTTTCCTCGGCCGGCGATATGGGCCTCGTTTTGTTTCCCTCTGTTGGAAGATGAGGAAGGTGCAAGAAGAGGTGGCCTTCCTCTATGACGACCTATAGCAAACCTTCGAAACGCCGAGAGCAAAAGACAAATGGACGGGAAGCCCGCAAATTGCCATACCGGGCGGTGTTTTAGGGCTGTGAAGCCAGGGGCATATGTTTACGGAGACATCCTCTACGTTTAGTCAGACGCCTAAGCGGTTGAAAGGGGTTTGCTTTTTGGTGGACTGGCTGATGGGCCGATTGATTGATTGATTGATTGACCGGGCCAAACATCCATCTCCATGATTCAGCAGTCTGGGGGTGTCAGGGCTGTGTTAGTCAGATGATGGTTACGGATCTCGTGTCACCGAGCCGGCGACGAGTCGGCTTTTACCGGCTCCGGGGCCAAGAGGAGGACGAGTCGTTGACGTGTCGGAAAGCGGCTGGCTGTCCTGCTCTCAACGGTGCCGCGAGTCCCGGGGACCGAGACCGAGGGCCGGCAAGGCTTAGTCGTTTTGACGTCCTCTGATGATCCAGCCCTACAGACCATCCGCGCCAACTCGGCTCAGGTTGAATAGAATGCCTCAGCAAGCGCTCGGCGAGTCGAGCCGACGAAGACGAGCTAGCGATTCAGTTGCTGCGATGGTGTGGAATCCTCTTCACGTCCCTGGACAGAGCCAGAGACCGCAATGAGGAAAAGAAAGAGAGAGAAAGAAGGAGTTCGCGTCATCTGGAGGCAGTGTAATACCAGAGACACAGTGGAAAGACTGCTTCTGCACGAGTGCAGAAACTCATCTTTCCAAGGGACAAAAAATGGTAACCGAGTTGGTTTGTCACCCGTGGGGACATCAAGCCCGTCAAGGCTTTGAAGAACAGATACTACACTTGATCTTAGCCACAATGGCAAAAGAAGCTGAGGGGAAAAGGAGAAGAAACAAACCGAAGCGAGAAGAGTTGTGACGGGATTTATATTGGCGTTTGGGGGCGAGGTGGTTGAGTCCGAAGGCGGGAGGATTGAGGCCAAAAGTTGGTGAGGCCAGTGTCTGCTGCGGTCTAGTGAGGCCAAGTCGAGGCCAATTTGAAGTGTTTGAAGTGATATGTCGGAAGCTGAATGCGTTGGGATTGAGGCCAAATTCCGGTGAAGTCCATGTCTGGTCCAGTGAAATGAGGTCAAATCGAGGCCATCTTGATGAGTTCGTAATTGATGAGTTGTCGGGCTTGGATGATGTGATGGATGTTGAGGCCAAATCCTTGTGATGTGCGATGTGATGTCCGTACTGCCTGGTGAGTTTGAAGCGAGGCCAATGTGGTTGAGGCCAGATGGTGTTTGTCTTTGGCTTGTGGAAGTTGAGGCCAATGTGGGTGAGGCCAAATGATGTTAATGTTTTGCCTTGGAGTGGTGGAGGTTGAGGCCGAATCCCGGTGAGGCCAATGTCGGTTGTGGGTGAGTCGGGTCCATCGCGAGGAATGAATGAAGATGGTAGAATTGGGTACGGTATAAAACGAAGATCGAGGTTGTATGCGAGAGCGAAATCTTTCCTCCCGGTTCGGGGTTGTTCAAGGGTTTATATAGCTCTGGTGCCTACCTTGAGGTCCAAGGGCTTCTAAATCTATGGAAGTCTCCCGTCAGTTCCACGGTTTCTATGAGGTTCACCTTGCTCCCTGAAGCTTCGCCAGACCGGGTTGGTGGTAGATTTTGAGGCAGACACGGATGCCTAATGTTCTCCCCCACTCCTTTCCACGATCTCAAGACAAACACCTTGATGTTACACTTTCTCATAATGCCTACTTTACTGATTGTGAGAATACCCTCGAAGCGACTAGATATCCTTCGAAATTTGAGTAGCTGAATTTGTAGTCTGTATGTACCCTAGTTGGAAAATTCGTTTCGAGTCTAGTGTGTGGTCATATTTCCTTTTAAGACCTATTGAAGACATTGGCGTGACTACCATATGCCCTGGGGATATCTTGAGAAGATACTTATGCAAACATGAGGTGACGAAATAGTTGCACCGAAGGACCTATGAAGATTAATCGGACAACGCCTTTCCGTTTGGGTCGCTCCGGATGTATGCGCACGACGAATTCCAGCAGAGACAAAGCAATATCGAAACTAACAGTGCTGTCAGACAGTGAACCTTCGACCTACCGAATTTTCCCGCGTTTGAAGTGTAGCAGATAAGAGGGTGAAAGTCGCAAAACCCCAGGCGTTGTGTGGGGTTCCATAATGGTGTCTCCCTGCTTTAGACTGAATAGGGGATGCAGGAATGCGTCGTCGGTTGCTGCCTTGCAAGTCGTGTACAGGGTCTTGGCCCTTGGGAGTGAGATCATACGGAGATCGAAGCACATGATTTGATACTATGATTCTCGCTCTATAGCCTTATTCAGGGACCTCACCGGCTCTGGTGTTCATATCTCGTAACATAGCTCCTGGGCCCAAGAAAAGAAAGCATATTTTCTTCCAAATTTTGGGAATCTTGAGGTTTCGTTGCCACTTCATTCACACTCTAAAACATACATACACGGAAAGTGAACCCGAGAAATGGTTTACGATGGCAAGGTGTCTGATGTCTCGAAAGGAATCTTTACTTGAGACCTGCCATGTTTAGAAGATGCTGGAGAATTGCACTGAGATGGTTACTGGTTATAAGAACCATTTTACAGCAAGTCATTTCATAACATCTGCACCATCCTCTTACCGACAAGGACAAGTAATGCAGATAAATACCAGCAATCGCAAGAAACTTGATGACGAGTGATCTTCAAGGTGTTGGGCATCATACGTCGCATGAGGGTAACCTTTACGGAGAAAGAAAGCATAAGAGCGAGTCGAAGTTGTCATTCTCAAATCCAGTGTGGATCTTGCCCTAAAGAGCTGGCAGTTACGAACCATCTGGACATATAGCCATACTGACCGATGATGCGAGCTTCCACATGGGTAAGGACTGAAAAGTTCGAGCAGAAGGAATTTTCGTGCCGTGTTAAGAAAGAGCTCAGTATCAAGGTGCTGAGTGAGAGAGTATGTAACAGGTCTTGCATAGCCTGGAGTATGTGCATACGGCTTGCCGACATTGGCATACTGTTCGAGGGAGACGTATCTACTCTCTACTATTCCACGGACACAGTCACTAAGCTGAGGAGAGATGAAGCAGGAAGTCAGCACGATTCGAATGCCCTCGAGACAATGCGAAAGAAAAACTCTTACAGCTGGCCTCGAGTGAGAGCAACTCACCATAGAGTACACCAGCAAGCCAGTACGAAGTGCGGTATTTATCAAAAGGACCATTCTGACGCAGAAGAAGCAGCCACATCGAACACGCAGCCTTTGGGCCGCCTCCGTCCCTAGATATCATCCTCGCGCCGCAGATTTACTTCTGCCTACACGATCAACACAATTATCGCCGATGAAGCCCGAATGAGGATACTTCGAAAAGGTATGCATGTATGAATGAGGACAACGTACTATATCGTTACTCCCCCTTTTATTTTTCCCTAAACCACCCCGAACGCCTAGATAAATGAGCCAGCCAGGCCATGACGCAAAAGACGACAACACATCTCTACTCTTTTGATATCATGTTTCCTCCTCACGTCTGTCTACTACGTAATTATTACCAAGCCATCTACTACTGCTCCATGGCATCGTCCTCTGCGGCAGCAGCAGCGGCGTCGAGGCCCGCAAACAAGTCGTCAATGTTGAACTCCTTGGCCCATTCCGTAACGATGGCCTTCTGATCGGGCGCAGCAGCGTCGTCGCCGACAGGCGCGGCGGCGGGGGCGTCCTTGGCATCGCTCTGCACAGCGAGAACAGGCGCCTCAACCCAACCCTGGATGCGTCCGTCGCGCCAGTCGGTCACGACGGTCATGGCGGCGGCGCCGATGTTGGGCACACCGCCACGGCCGAGACGACCGCGCTTGCGCGCAACCTGCACCAGGAAGTCGGTCGTGAGGTCGCCGTCGGTGCGGCTGGGCATGAGGGGCGGCAGGTCGTAGACATCCGTCAGCTTCTGCAGCAGGTTTGGGGTGGCGGAGAGGCGGCGCAGGAGGAGAGTGACAGCAGGGATGGGGTCGTCGATGTTCTTGGGGGGCACGGCGTTGAGGAGGACGAGGTGTGCGTGGGCGTCGGTCGCGGTCTTCAGATTTACCAGGCCGCCGGAGGACGAGGTGTTGGTCGCGGAGGGGAAGACAATACCGGGGGAGTCGAGAAGAGTGAGCTTGCTGTCGATCTTGACGGCACGGATGCTTGTCGTGACACCGGCCTCGGCACCGGCGGGGCACGCCTTGGAGGACCCGCGGCCGCCGCTCAGACGACCCAGGAGGGCGTTGATGACGGACGACTTGCCGACGTTGGGGTATCCGATAACACCGACGGAGACGGCGCGCTTGAGTTGCCTGGTCGCGGCGTATGACTTGAGCGCGCGGAAGAGATCGGAGGAAGTCTTCTGGACCGTGAGCTCCTTGTGGTTGAAAGTCTGGGCGTTGGGCGCGGCGTTGGAGGCGCGCAGGGGCAGAGTCGGGAAGTAACGGCGCAGGTGAGTAAGCCAGGCCTGCAGGGTCTTGGGTGGCACCAGATCGATCTTGTTGAGGATGAGGATGAGGCGCTTGCCGCCGTTGGCGGCTGCCATGACACTACGCTCGACGTCGCGGGAACGGGTGGATTCCGGGTCGCGGGCGTCCAGGACGTAGAGGATGACGTCGGCTTGTTCGACGACGTTCTTGAAGACCTTGTCGAAGGCCTTGCGGGAGGTGGCATTGCCGACAGCGATCTCGGCGGGAGCGTCCGAGTCGTCTGAATCCTCATCCTCGTCCATCTCGTCATCGCCCTTGTCGCGCAGGTCTCTTTCGTAGCTCGCGGCGGCGGCCTTTGCGCTGGCGAGGAGCGCGGCCATGGGGTTCGACTCGTCGACATCGTCGTCGTCGTCCTCCACCATCATGTCCTCGTCGCCCTCGACGTCCTCGGCCATATCATCCTCGTCGGCAGCATCGTCGGCAGCGGCGCCAGTCTTGGCCGCCTTGGCGAGCTCGCGACGCTTCTGCGCCTCCTCGGCCTTGCGCAGCTTCTTCTCCTCGATCTCCTCGAGGATCTTCTCCTTGTAGGGGAACAAGTTGGGAATACCCGGGTCCTTCTTGAGCTTGGAGCGCCATTCGGGGTTCTTCTTGGCGAGCTTTCTCTCCTTCCTCTGCTTGGCCGCCGACGCCTTTTCGATCTTGTGGCGGAGGCGGACGGGCGTCCTCTTGGACTTCGGCTCTACAGTTGGTTAGATCAAAGGGACTATGTGTTAAGAGAATACAACATACTCTTGGGCTTGTTGATTGAGCCGGCCATCTCGAGAAATTGTCCGCTGGGGTATTTGGCGAGAGGTTAAGTTGGGTGCTCGATACTTTGCTAAGGTACCGATCGCGACAAAATTTCCTGCGCCCGGCTTTGCGGTGGCCATGGAACTTTCAAAAATTTAGTGGGAGGTCGGTTTCTGCCGGTGCACACCGCCCGTTATCGTTATCTCTCCCCTCCATCACTTCTCACCGCCCGAGTCCATTCCCGATACGGAAGCCCCGCCAACCCGAGGGTCTGCTGTCCTCCAGGCTGACCTTACACTGCGGGTTCTGAGTCGAAGCCACCACACGAAGGAAGGCGTGCTGTAATCAGTGGATCACAAGCGCTGACGGGGAATTTTTGGATGCGATGGAGCGCTGTGACGGCATTGAATTCCCTAAAATGTTTGGGAAAGGCAAGTGGTTCTGCGAGCGGAATACCACTTAGGGCGACCCGACACCGACGATTATGTTACAGAAAGAGTCATCCAGCTGCACTCTCAACCTTTATGCCAACTTCAACCAACCGAGAATTCAACTTCATTGAGTTACATTTGAACATTTTCTGCATTCTACCTATTTAAAACAAACAATTCGAATCAATATAGAAGCCTACGTTCTGTTTAGATCCTATCTCTCTCCTAAAGGTATGCCTACAACCCGTAAGGTCTTACATCTCAACAAGCCCTGACAACTCCGAAGCTCTCAACATGTCGTACACGGCCCCTCCGCAACGCATCACTTTCGATGGCTTTCTCTTCGACATGGACGGCACCATCATCGACTCAACAGACGCCGTCGTGAAGCACTGGAACACGTAAGTCGTCGACACGCGTCACCTCGAAACCGGCCTTGCCGCTCCCTTGCATCAACTCTCCCGCCATCTCGCGACTTCACCCCACTAACACGTCGGTCTCTGCCCCTTCTCCCTTGCAGAGTAGGCAATGAGATTGGAGTATCACCCGAGGTTATCCTCGAGACGTCTCACGGCCGCCGGAGCATCGACATCTTGAAGATTTTGGCCCCCGAAAAAGCAAACTGGGAATGTGAGTCCTCAGATCTCTTACATTGCGATCCCCTTGCGTCTTGTGCCTGTTTCGTCATCGCACACCGCTCCTGTTTTCCCACGACGCACTTCGGGGTTTGGCCAAGCCACGGGGCAAGCAAGGAGTTGCCGTTTGTTTGTTGTTGTTATGGTTCAGAGACGCTAAGGTTTCCATCGCAGACACCCGTGAGATGGAGGGCCGCCTTCCGAAACTGTATGGCGAGGACGCCGTCGAGATCCCGGGAGCGAGGGCGCTCCTCGACGCCCTGATCAAGGAGAAGGCTCCCTGGGCCATTGTGACGTCGGGAACCGAGCCCCTCGTCGGCGGATGGCTCAATGTCCTGGGCCTGCCGACGCCGGAGCACCTTGTCACCGCCGAGTCCGTCGAGAACGGCAAGCCGGACCCGACCTGCTACCGGATCGGCCGGGACAAGCTCGGGTTGCAGGACGCGTCCAAGCAGGTCCTGGTCTTTGAGGACAGCCCGGCGGGAATCAAGGCTGGCAAGGACGCCGGTTGCAAGGTGCTGGGACTCGTCACAAGCCACACCGTTGAGCAGGTTGTGAACGCTGAGCCGGACTGGATCGTCCAAGACCTGGATTCAGTCAGGGTCGTTGAAGTCAAGGGGGGTTCCGTCACCTTGGAGTTCTCCAACGCCCTGGTTTCGAAACCTACGGCGTGAGGAATGGAGGCTCTGCTAATGAACCGATAGACTGGAATAGACTTTATTCGGAATAGACTATTGCATCCTAAAGGTTATTGCTTGCTGCCCCTCCCGTTCACCAAGCTCCCGCGAGGGATGTTTCGTCAGGGGGTACCATGTGATTGGGACCGCTCACCAGTACACAATCTAACGAAAGACAACAGTTCCTCTTCGACCTCACCTGCCCTTGGGGCGACATCATCGAAGTTCAGATGAGGCACAGTATCGAGCAGATACCCCCTCAGATACGAAGATCGTAATTCTCACCGGAAGGATCTTGAAGGATCTGATATTTGCTCCGGCACCAGCAGCCGTGCAACCACAAAAACTTGCAAATCACCTTCGGATGAACCACGCCCGGGATAGGATGAGAGGGCTTCCAAACCAAGACCTGTCTCCGCGGCCGGGAAACACAACGTACGCGGTTTGCGGTGTCTCTGGTCTGGTACAACCCCAGTGTCCAAGAATATCCTGCCCCTCCTGAGTCCGTGATCCACGAACGCTGATTTGACTGTCTCGCAAACAGTTCACGAGACATCTCCTGGGTGCCGTCGGTTTACATCACACAGTGCATATCAAAGTTGGGCCGAGGTCGCGGGACGGATTGGACGCGTCCCAAGTCAATATCAGACAAGCCGGTCAGGTAAACATTGTCACATCTGAGACGGCCCAGGAAAAGAAACACTCATCGGTCAACCAACCCAATCGACGCGCCGGGACCAGAGACAAGGGGAAAAAGCAATCACGGGGGTTTCACGACATAAGTCGTATAAGGAACTTTGGCAACTTGCCGGATGCCTCCCCCCGGATGACCCCGGATGCCTCTTGTCCGACTTGTGCGAAGCTGGACGGTACCGGCACCGTGGTTGTGGCGCAACTTTGCATGACCGCGAACTGTGTGTCTCAACACAAGCGGACGGATGAGCTTTGGGCCGAGTATTCGGGATCTTGGCTGCGAGTTGTGCTGCGAGGTCCCGGAGGACATGATGATGGTTGCCTGTCAGCGAGAATGCCCCGAGCTGACGAACTCGGCTACCCGCAGACGGAGCAGCTCGCCTCCTCCCAGACACACGTCAAAACAAGGCAAATCACATCTGCAATCAGCATCTCGCAGCGAGTTCGGAGATCTTCACGCCCTGTGCGCGAGGCACCATCCTGGCCGGCGATATGTGCGACGGCTTGGGTTGCACGAAGTCGGGCTGATGCCGGGTAGTTGGCAATTGGCGAAGGAACGGGCAGCGGCGGAAGCATTCCTCGCTGAGACGGATCGTTCGCCGTCTTCAACGAAGCTGGCAGCGAAGTGATGGACAGGCGACAATTTCAGTGGCTTTAGATGCGACCGACGCCAGAGAACCCGCGCGATTTTCCGAGACAGCAGTTCCGTGAACCTACCTTAGCTGCCTGCCCTCGTCATCTCTATGTATCTGTGTAGAGCCAGTGATGGTTGAATGTCTTGCTGCGCCCCCGCCGGCCGTAGGCGTCCGTTGATGCTATTCCGACACGTACCACTGCATACGCCAACTTTCGTATGGAAGCATGCAGGAACAGCCGGGCGAGCTAAGCCCACATAGGTTCTGGCAGCGAATGAATACAAAACTGTTAGGAGGATTCTTAGAATTGAATGCGGCTTGAGAGTGGCTGAGGAGAATGGGAAGAACGGGAGCGTAGCCAACATCCAGCCCTGCCAGGGGCAAAAACTACCGGCAGTTGTTGCACGCTGCAGGTACGCATTTTGAGCCAAGTATTCGTAGCGGCGTGAAGCCGTGGCGGTCGTGGAGGCCACCAATGGCTAAACCAACGTCACTAACCACAAGCCCACACGTCTGAGTTCGGAGTAGTCTTCTCCGTCGGCGTGGCGGCTGTCAACCAATCTCAGCCGTGATGAAACGGAAATGAATCATCTAGTTCTCGTGTCCGCCACTTGTTTTCGACGCCGCAACGGCGAGCAACATTTCCATATGGGCGGGCACTCCCATGTGGCTCCATTAGGGGGCCTACTAAAGTCGACTGACAGGAGTTCGAACGCCGCGAAGCCAGATAGCCGGGTCAGTCGGGTTGGCGGTTGAAGGGGAGACCAGGCGCAGAGCTGTGTCGAGAGGACAGCAAGTCGTGTTGTGTTGTTCCTGGCCTGAAGATGATGCTTCGCCTCTGTTTCGTCCTTGACTCTTTCGCTACGGTTTCACGGATGGTCTGGAGATATCCGGCGGCGGCGGCGGCGGCGGTGACAACGGGGTGTGTTGGCGCTGTACCTTGCAGCAATGATGCCTTCGTGCTACGGAGTACGAATAGTACTGCTCCTTCGTCGGGAGTCGGAACTCCTCGCTCGGCAGCGGAGCCGACACGGCCTGACTCGAGTTGACCTTGTCGTGAGGCTGTGCCGGCACAAGCGAGCGAGAATGAAATTGTGCTGTCGTAGAGATGGGTCAAGTGAGTGGAAACGAACGCGCGCACCAGCCCAGTAAACAACAGGCGTAATGTGCACACTGCACACTGGCACCTGCCACCGTGGCACGCGTCGTCCTGGAGGGGTCTTTTTTCGCTTTCTCTCACTTTTACGGCCGTGACGCCCATGTCGAGACCCTTGACCAAGTTTAATGAGAAAAGCATGGGCCCGCGGCTTGTGCGCAGGGGAGGAAGAAAAAAAGAGACTCGAGCTTGCTCTCCTCCACACTGCAGGGTCAGGGTCGGCATCCCGTCCATCTCGTCAGTCGCCTAAGTTGGTGCCGCACGTGGCCGCCGGGGCCCAATTTTGGTCCCAATCTCCCGTTTGCCGCTGTTTTCACACCTTGATCTTGATGGCAAGGCCCATGTGGTTGTCGTGGTGGTGGTGTTCAGGCACAGGTTGGTATGGCTGGTTCCTGTCAACCACGCATCCGAGCCACTCTGTTGCGGTGTTGCCCTGCCTCGTATATCGTCATTGCGCCGTTCAAAGAAATGTAGGTGCGGGGACCCAAAGAAAGCAACAGCCGTGTTGGTGCGAATGTCATCAATCCGGACAGAACTTCTGTCACTTCTCTGTTCTTGGGCCGAGTGTTCCTTACGGCATACCGATGACCCCTTTTCGTTGCATCGTGCCCGTATGTATGTACGTCAACGACATCTTCGTCTCCCCTGTGCAGATCTGGACGACCCCATGGCGACGAACCCTTCAGCCAGTCCTCAACTCAGAGCAACGAGATGTCTTGTCAGCTTTATCCCTGGTGGTGCGCCGCAACGCTCGGCGGATGGCCCCCCGCCCCTTCAGCGTTCTGCTGGGCAGTTGAGAGCGGTTTACGGCATTCCAGAAGGCCGCCGCCACGGGTCATACCCCCAACGGCTGGAGTCAATTTAAAGATGAACTGCCCTCGACGGGAATCGGCCGTTCCTGAGATGATGGAATGCGGCGTGTCATCCACAAGTCGACCAAGGAATAGGACCCCGAAAGACCGGTCAACACCAAAATAGAAGCCTTCACTCTCGGAACGCGTCACAGTCCACACAGCCTTGTTGATGCTGGTTCATGCCCAACATCATCTCCGGGGGCGGGTTTTGATTGCGTCGTCAGACTCCAGAAATCGGTCGAGGAGCCGGGGTTTATCGACAGCCCGGCATCAGCGCCATCTGGCTCATCGGTGAAGGCTTTGGGGGTACCATGGTGCTGGAAAGTTCCGCTCCAAGTTCGCTGTGCAAGTCGCAGGAAATTGTGCACCGGAGGCATTGGGCCGCCAGCGCACCGTAATGAATGTCTGGCATACGGTATTTTACCCGGACTGAAAAACGAGAATAATATCCTAGTATCGATATCCTGCGGCTAGCGGTCGACTTTCTGCGAGGTAGCGTCAGCATATGGAAATGAGAAATATGTTGCTTATACTACGCCACAGGAGACGATAAAACCTACAGCTCAAGTTTACTGCAAATTGGCCCAGCGTGAAGGTGACGAGTCCAGGATCAATGGCAACGACAATTATTGTAACCTGAGCTTTCCGATCAGACGACGAGCTTCTGGACGATTGATGCAATGGACTGACTTGAGTCACACTGGCGCATTCGGTAAAAATCTGTAAAACTTCAGCCTGCTTGAAGTCGTTGCGCTTCTATGAACATAGTGATGTATGCGTTGAGATTCCCCATAAAAGTTCATGATCACACCGATACGAAAACCCTGCCCTCATTGCGAGAAAAAAAGAAGCCACCTTGTAAGTATCGAGACTCGGCAATCAATGTTCAGAGATCGCGGCCTTCAAACATGCCGTTGTTGCTTCAACTGCCGTTGTGCCTCCAACTAACACCATCGACGGCGGCGGCGGCCGGCAGCCTCTGGAGAAACGGGAGCCCGCCCGCTGTGAAGGTGCTTACTTAATAAGGCGCCTTCTCAAGCGCCTTCACTGGCGAGGTTACAACGCTCACGGATGAGCGACAGTCCGGGAAACACCACACGCCACCATACCTACCTTACTGTCCCGGGTTTAGCCTCCACATGTACAACGGATTTCAGCAGCGTGAAAAACCGACATCGAGGCGACAGACGGCCATCCATCCCCATCTGGGCCGCATTAGGACCTGTCAGTACGGGCCTTATTTGCGCCTTTGCCATCGCGAAGTTCGTAAAGTAGTCTTGCGGTGTCGGCCGGTCGACAGACCGTGGGATATTCTCTTGAGCTCCCCAAGCCGTTCGTACTGATTCTCGTGGCGCAGGAACCAAAGCCAAAAGTTCGAATCACGCCATCCAAGCTCGCTAATGGCTCTTTGGGATGACAGGGTTCAAACATTCTGCGAGGTCTTGGTCGTAGCGGGCGATTACTCCACGAAGGCTCACACGAGCAACATCCTGCATCCATTGAACTTTGAAGCCGTTCAGAATGCCATAGTCGACATAGCCGGGGGACCTTGGACGGACTGGGGCACGAACACGGCCAATCTTTCCTTCCCAGCTCTCCAGGCGATCGTCAAGGCGCAAATTTGTGGATGTTGGCCGCATGATGCGAGAGGATTGACAC